ATAAGCTGTTATAATCAGTTCTAACAGTAATTACTATTGTAAGGCTCTCAAAGTAGTGATATCAGTGATAGAAGAATTTCACTATTATAAGAAGCTTCTGATTATAAATGTTATAGTTGATCTTCACAGGTTGTATCTTCTATGAGAAAAAGATCACTGAAACTCAGTTCTCATTTAACTGTAGTTATGAGACTATTTCTGAAATTACAAAGAAGAAGACATCTGTCTTCAATCTGATTAAGAGTAAGAGATTGAAGTGAAACAGTATCACTATATCTGTGAATATCTGTTTCAATCTTATAAAGACTCTGTGAGCTTCTGAGATAAGAAAGTTCTCACAGTTCTCTCTTCTCAACAATCTTTTCATTCTCTATTTACAGAATGACTTCTTCTTATTTTCACTCTTCAGCATGTCTGTAAGAGTCAAGAAGATTCTCATGAACACAAAGATAAATCATCTATAGAAATTCATAAAGCTCAGAAAGATCTGAATCTTATAAATACTAGTTAACTCTGATTATAATAGAATAGTCTTAACTTATAAAGATTTCCATCTGAATATCATCTACAGTAATTATATATTCTAGAAAATTAATCTGATAAGCACTGAAGTTATACTTTATAAGCTTAATATACAGTTCTATCTCATCTAAGATCTTTAACATACTTTATATATACTCAGTGTGTTCTTTCTTCTTCATAAAGTATATCATCACATCATTCAGATATATTATCATGAAGATATTCAGATATGCATGAAGTGTTTTATTAATGAAAGACTGAAATACTGTAGAAGTATTAATCAGATTAAAAGACATCACTAGATATTCAAACAATTTCAGTGCAGTTTTAAAGACAGTCTTTCATTCATTCTCAGACTGTATTCACAGTCATGTATATATATTAATTATATTCAGTTGTATGAATATAACAGCTTCTATGAGATAATTAATCACATTCTTAATCAGAGACAGAAAGTAGCAGCTCTTTATTATCTTAAAGTTCAGATTGTGATAATCTACATACAATCTGAGATCTTCATTCTTCTTCTTTATAAATATCACAGAGACTCTCATGAAGATCTGTGAAGATTGAATAAAGTCATTCTTCAGATTCTTCTTTATATAGATCTACAAGATCTCTATCTTATAATAAAAGAGCTTATAGATTAGTTCTCAGAAGAGTTTCTACTCTTCTATCAAATTTATTATCAGATTCTTCTCACAGTGAGAAGAAAGCTTAGCTGTCTTAGCTAAGTTAAATATCTCTGTAAGATCTTGATATTTCTCTGATATCTAAAGCTCAGTTTTCATGACTGTGAGATTCTCAGACACTTATAAAGTTATTATATAGATGAGCTTGTCTTCTCTAATTAACTCTGTAGTATCAACTGATTCTATCTTTATAAGTAAGTCTATCAACACTGATCAGAAGTATAAACCTGACTCACAGACAGCTATATATGAATTATATCTTTGAAGTTATACAAGTCTTAAGTACATGTTATCTGTGATATCTGTGATAATCACAGTTTTCATAAATATTCTCCAGATTTCAGAGAGATCTTATAATTCAAAGATGACTCTTACAAGTCTCTCAGCTCTCAGATCTGAGTTCTCATATTCTATTTATTATAAGAGCAGATTCTCAGTTTTTATCTTTCAGCTTATTCACTCTGTGAGCTTTAGAGACATCACAGTGATCTGAGATTCTGAGTTTATCAATACTTCTTATACTTACAGAGCAGTAGTACTACAGCACAGTCTCTTTTTATAAGCAAGTATTTTCATTGAAGAAGTAACAGATTCAGATATTAGCTTTAAGACTCTTAAGAAAGCTGTTACTGACTCTGTCTGTGACTTCTCAAATTTCTATTTTAATTTATCTAAACAGTTTGCATGAAGATATTCTGATTTAGAACAGATAAAGTAGAGTTTCTTTTTCTTAGTCTCTCTATTATATATTCTATTCATAGAAGCTTATGAAGCTCTCTCTCTCTACTCAGCAGTCAGATACAAATCTCTCTATATCTTATCATCTTTTTCTAATAAATCTGTTCTCTATTATTCTAACTCTTACAGAGCTAATTGATAATCTGCTCTCTGTAAGTCTGTGACTCTCACAGTGATTTATAAGCAGTGAATAAGAGTTATCAGTTTCTTCAGAGTCAAGAACTTAGAGTCTTACTTAATAAGCTTATTCTATATATCTTTATTCAGCTTCTTTATAAATATTATTATTCAGATCTTATTTCAGAGCTCTGTTTTCACAGATCTTAATTCACATCATAATTTTATAAAGTACTGTAAGTAGTCTTCATCAGATTTCTCATCTCTTTTTCTAATATTAATAATTACAGCTCAGATGTTCTCTGTCTGACTTACAGAGTCTCTTAACTTATTCTCTAAATAGATCTTGAGAACAGATCAGTGAAATCTCTTATAATCATTCTCTAAATAATTCAGTCAGTTCTTGACTTCAGTGTAATAGAGATCTGTTATTATATAGATAACAGCTTCTTCATCTTTCATATCACACAGTCAGGCTTGTAAGTCAATTTTAAATACAAACTTGTAAAAGCTTTTATAGATTGTGATTTAATAAGTGATCTTAAGTGATCACAGCTTAAGAAAGTTTCTTTTCAGTTTATAAGTATCTCTGAAGATCATGTCTAGAGACTCAGTTCAAGAGTATTTATAGATAGTAAGTATTTCTTATAGAAAAATAGCTTAATTCTGTGAGAGATGCTTAAGAATGTTCTTCACTAAGATTGATTTATTCATGAATTTGAAGAGTTTCTCTGTCACAGATGCAGAGAATAATGTCTTATAAGTAATTAATAAGTTCTCTGAGACTTCTTTTATAAGAGTTATTTATGATTCAGATGACTGCTTCTGAGTGTCTGCAGTAGAGTTCACAGAGATTAAAGTATATAAGTTTCTAGTTCTTTCAGTTATAACAGGCAGTTGCTGACTGACTGAGCTTGAAATGTAAGAATAAGTACTCATAGATGATTATTCAGGTGTTTGCAGCTTGACATGATATATACTATTAACTACTAGAAGTATTCATGATAGAAAGATAAAATGTAGAGATTAAATATATAATAGTATTCAAGCTGAGTTATAAATAGTATTCATGAACTTCAGTCTATATAGTTATGTGTAGCCAAGAGCCGCTAGCTCTATTGATTATGCAAGAGATAGAAATAGAGGTAAAGAATTCGCGAGAAGCGGGATTTCTTACATTCTTACAATTACTGATATAATAATTATCAGCTCTGCAGTTGAAACAGAGATCTTTATTAAAACTTTTTTAATATTTCTTTACAGTGAGTGAAGAATTAGAATACTTGAAATTCTTCTTTACTTTCTCTACACTAAAGCTGTTATAATACTGTTTAGATTCTGTTATAAGTTACTTAGAAGAGATCTTGTTAATCTTTTTCTCAGAGAATTAATTATTCAAATAGATTCAGAAAGTCAGGTTGATAAGCTCAGTATAATTAATTAATAAACTCTGATATTATAATATCATTGTTCACATCTTATAAGTCAGCTTTGTAAGATAAAGCTGTGTTTTTAATTGATTTAAATCATCAGTCAATTTCTCTCAATATTCTTCAAATCTTATATTAAAATCAGAAGAATTCTCATTATTTTATTAATATAATAAGTTGAATCACTGTATTACTATGAAGCTGTAATTACAGTAATCTTTAATTTAATTCAGTAAAAAGTTCTTGAATTCTTCTTAAGTTATAATAGTATTAATATACTCAAGCTCTTTTTTCTTAATAGCTTAAGTAGTTACAGAGATGCCTTCAAGAAGGTTAACTGTAAGAATAAGTACTTGCAGGCGATTATTCGGGTGTTTGCAGCTTGGCGTGATATGTACTGTTAACTACTAGAAGTGTTTATGGTAGGAAGATAAATGTAGGGGTTAAAATGTATAATAGCATTCAAGCTGAGTTGTGAATAGTATTCGCGAACTTCAGTCTATATAGTTGTGTGTAGCCAAGGGCTGCTAGCTCTATTGATTATGTGAGAGATAGGAATAGGGGTAAAGAATCTGCAAGAAGCGGGATTTCTTACATACTTTCCTCTCTCTAAGGCTTTGTCTGTGAAGCCTTTCACTGAGTGACTTCATAGTCAGCTCAGCACTGCAGTGATACTCACTAAAAACTCTTCATATCTATAAAAAACCTCAGTGAGGAAAAATCTCTTGTTACTATAAAGGAAAAAGAGTCTGTCACTCAGTTCCTTGTTTCATGAGGTTCTTTGTGACCTACAGATTCTTCTCTGACTATCATACAGATTCATCTCACACCTTTCATACAGAAGAGTTCTGGTTGACTCTCAATCATTTTCATGAGATTCTTGTGTGACTATCACATAGATTCATCTCACAGGTGAATCACTCTCTGTGAGATCATTCTTATTAAAGAGAAACATTTGTGAGTTGATTTTTCATTCATTCTCACAAATCATTGCTCTTTAACACTGTAGAATTGTGAGGAATTTTTCATTCTTTTATCAACTCTGTAGAATTGTAGAATCAAGATGTTCACAGTCTGCAATCATTCTTTGTAGTCACATAGAAAGATTCAGGCCTGTAATTCACAATCACTCTTGTTTGCTAGAGTGATCTGACTATTTCACAGAATCACTCACAGTGTAAGCAAACCTCTCTAGAGTAGTATAAATATCTCAGGTCTGTCTGTGAAATCTCATCTTCTTTTTTCTTTTTCTGTAACAGCTCTTATCTCTATAAACTGTGAGTATTCTCATTCATCTGTAAAGTGTTTTCATTCAGATGACAGAGAGAGAGTGTTCCTGACAATGTCTGTGTATTGATTCAAGAACTTCTCAAGAATAAAAATTTTTTCAATTTCAACATCTTTGCAAACAATGTCTGGCCATCACTGAGCTTCTCATGGGCGTCCCCACAACTCCTCTGATCACTTTTTACCGGCTGGTGGAGCAGGGGTGCCGCCGCCCATGATCATGCCTTCATTCTTCCCAGCCCTGCCACTGCACCTGATCTTCAGGCCAGCAGCTCATCTCATCCCTCCCTCAGGCCAGCCTCTGGCTTCAAGCAGTGCAGTCCCTCTCTTTGCTGTAAGTCTTCTCATAAGTAATTTCTTACAGACTCTAGCTGACAGTTCTTGCAAAGCTCTCAGTGTTACCAGTGCCTCCTGCGGCCCCGCGGGCCTATGACCATCCCCCCCCTGTCTGCACAATCTCTGACCAGGCATATGTGAATATGCCTAGGTTCTCTACCAATGGTCCTCGCGCCGCGGCGCATTTCCGCAATCCCATTGCCAATGGGAGATGAGTTCCTGAGTACCTGCAAAATCTGGGTAATCAAGGCAATGTGAATGCCATGAATTCATGACAGGAGTTGACCTGAACAGATGAGCTCTCTCTTCACATTCTCATTGTTTCCAGGCTGGATACTTCAGCATAACTGAGAGAGTGAACACAGCTTCATGAGAGATATCTGGTCACATGTGCAGATGGCCAGTCTTCAAGACTCTGCTGCAACTGTGCATGCTCTGATATCTGACTTCTCTGAAATCTGTGCATTTCTGATAGTCTTCATGTCAAATGCAACAATTGTCTGTACTACAAGCATGATGCTCTCTGCTTCTTTGAAGAGAGAAATTAATAGTTGTGAGAGAATTAGATGTTGCAGATGTTGATGATGTGAGTGTGAGTTTTCTTTATTTTTTCTTTATTGATCTCTAAATTGCATTTGTGACTCTGTTTATTTTCTTGTTTTTTAGCTTTAATGAGAACATGTTTTCTTCTTTCCTTGCATACATTGCAGACTGTTCATCTCAGTAGAAACTCATCATCTTATAGACTAGGATTCACAAATGACAGTGTTAATATCTTTATCACAATCAGATTCTTAGTGAAGACTGTATTATTCTGACTTATCAGGATTTACAGTATGAAAGTCATGTCTCAGCTTCTGCAGATATCTTATCTGCCTGAATAATTCTCAAGTGAACTCATTCATCTTGTCAGAATATTCTTATCACTGAATCTTGAATCAGAGCTTGTGATCTCACTTCTCTGAGTCAATAATCTCTTTAACCTGATATTCTCTTTCACTCTCTAGTGCTTTGTAAACAGAGTGATGAGTCACAGAATTCTCTTCTGAGAATTTCTTATATTCACAGAGTAAAGAGACATGAAAAATATTGTATATCTACAACTCAGATGACAGTTTCAATCTGTAGAACTGTAAGCTAACTTTCTTCATAATCTTGTAAGGCTCTGTCTGCAAGAGATTCAGCTTCTTACTAGATCTCTGCATGATGATATTTTCTAGACTCAGTCAGACTCTATCATCTTTCTTGAAACTCTTTGCAATATGCTTGAAGTCATAGTATCTCTTCTGATACTCTTGAGTCTTTCTCAAGAATTCATGAGCTTTCTCCCAGATCTTCTGAATTCTCTCAGCCTGTTCACAGGCATCATCATACTCTATAGTGTACTCTCATGAGTTCATCAAGATCATCTGCAGATGAGTCTCAGTGAGCATCTTAAAGAGGGTTTTGCCTGTGCTGACATGCTTTGAGTTATTATACATGAACTCTGTAAGTGATAATCAATGCACTCAGTCATTCTGATTGTAATTGACAAAGCACTACAGATACTGTTTCAATATACTCATTAAGCATTCTGTCTGATCATCTGTCTGTTGATGAAAAGCCATGCTTAAATCTCATAAGATCTTCAGTATAGTTATCAGATCAGATCAGAACTCTTCTATGAAGATTGATTCTCTGTCTGAGACAATGTTCACAGACAATTCATGCAACTGAACCACATCACGGACAAAGATGTGAGTCAAATCCTTTGACTTCAAGTCCTTGCAGGTGAGTATAAAGTGTGTCATCTTGATGAAGTGATTCACTATCACCAGCACACTGTCAAAGCAGGCATCATATATGTTCTTGCTTTCAGAGAGGCTTATAAGAGTATTCATTCCTAGCTGTTTCCAAGGTTTCTGCAGGATGAGTAGAGGAGTAAGTTCTTCATATGACCTGAATCACACTACTCACAAACTCTGACAAACAGTATAAGAATTCACTATCTTCTTCACAAGTTCTCACATCTTCAGTCAGAAGTATTTCCTTGCAAGCAGCTCATGAGTTCTAGTGTCTGCAAAATGACCTGCTAGAGAAGAGTCATGATGCCTTTTAATGAGTTCTATATATAGAAACTCATTTACAGACACATAAATCCAGCCCTCTCTTTGCAAGAGGTCATTTAAGTCTCTTCAATTCTTTATTTCTGCAGAGTTGATCTCTGCTGTGAGCAGTTTCTGAATATGCTGAGCATATTCATTCTTCAGTTGCAGTTCAGACAATCTGAATAGAAGATCTTGTGAAGACTTATACTCTGTTTTCTCTTGCACCAGGTCTTCTGCAGTGCTTCTCAAAGCCTGCAAACTCTTCAGATTATAGATACTCTCTTCAAGGATTCTCACAGAGATTCTCAGAGTGTTGACTCTCAGTGTTGCAGAGAGTAGTTGTACAGGCTTCTTCTCTCTCTCTTCCTTCTTCTCTCATGAGAGATTGAGAGACTCTTCAGTCAATCTCTTTGTAACACTCAGTTCAAGCATTCTGTGAAGCTTTTCTGTCTCCTCTAGCCTCTCTGTGTCTGTTATCCTGGCCTTCTTAACATAGTCTGACCTGTGAGAGAGTCTGTCTGCTGGGTTCTTAGTTCCCTTAATATATTCTATCTTAAACCAGAACTCACTCAGTCTCTGAGCCCAGTGAACCTGCTGCTGTGAGAGTTTCTTAGTTAAAGCAAACTGTCATAAGCTGTCATGATCAGTTCTAACAGTAATCACTGTTGCAAGGCCCTTGAAGTAGTGATGTCAGTGATGAAAGGATTTCACTATTGTGAGAAGCTTCTGATCATGAATATCATAGTTGATCTCCGCAGGTTGCATCTTCTGTGAGAAAAAGGCCACTGAAACCCAGTTCTCATTTGACTGTAGTTGTGAGACTATTTCTGAAATTGTAAAGAAGAAGACATCTGTCTTCAATCTGATTAAGAGCAAGAGATCAAAGTGAAACAGCATCACTGCATCTGCAAATGTCTGTTTCAACCTTGTAAAAGCCCCGCGAGCTTCTGAAATAAGAAAGTTCTCACAGTTCTCTCTTCTTAACAATCTTTTCATTCTCTGTTCACAGGATGATTTCTTCTTGTTTTCATTCTTCAGCATGTCTGTAAGAGTCAAGAAGATTCTTATGAATACAAAGATAAATCATCTATAGAAATTCACAAAGCTCAGAAAGATCTGAATCTCATGAATACTAGTTAACTTCAGTCATGATAGAATAGTCTTAACTCATGAAGATTTCATCTGAATATCATCTGCAGTGATTACATATTCTAGAAAATTAATCTGATAAGCACTGAAGTTGCACTTTACAAGCTTAATATACAGTTCTACCTCATCTAAGACCTTCAACACACTTCACACATGCTCAGTGTATTCTTTCTTCTTCATAAAGTACATCATCACATCATTCAGATATATTACCATGAAGACATTCAGATATGCACAAAGTGTTTTATTGATGAAAGACTGGAATGCTGCAGGGACATTAGTCAGATCAAAAGGCATCACTAGATATTCAAACAATCTCAGTGCAGTTCTAAAGACAGTCTTTCATTCATTCTCAGACTGTATTTGCAGCCATGTATATGCATTGATCACATTCAGTTGTGTGAATATAACAGCTTCTGTGAGACAGTTGATCACATTCTTAATCAGAGACAGGAAATAGCAGCTCTTTGTTATCTTGAAGTTCAGATTGCAGTAGTCTACACACAATCTGAGATCTTCATTCTTCTTCTTTATGAACATCACAGAGACTCCCGCGGAGGCCTGTGAAGATTGAATAAAGCCATTCTTCAGATTCTTCTTCACATAGGTCTGCAAGGCCTCTGTCTCATAATGAGAGAGCTTATAGATTGATTCTCAGAAGGGTTTCTGTTCTTCTATCAAATCTATTATCAGATTCTTCTCACAGTGAGAAGAAAGCTCAGCTGTCTTAGCTGAGCTGAATATCTCTGCAAGATCTCAGTATTTCTCTGATATCTGAAGCTCAGTTTTCATGACCGCGAGGTCCTCAGACACTTGCAAAGTCATCATATAGATGAGCTTGTCTTCTCTAATCAACTCTGCAGCATCAACTGCTTCTACCTCTGTGAGTGAGTCTGCTAACACTGATCAGAAGTATAAACCTGACTCACAGACAGCTATGTGCAGATTGTGTCTTTGAAGTCATGCAAGTCTCAAATACATGTCATCTGTGATGTTCATGATAATCACAGTTTTCACAAATCTTCTCCAGGTTTCAGAGAGATCTTATAATTCAAAGATGACTCTTGCAAGTCTCTCAGTTCTCAGGTCTGAGTTCTCACATTCTGTTTATTACAAGAGCAGATTCTCAGTCTTCATCTTTCAGCTCATTCACTCTGTGAGCTTTAGAGACATCACAGTGATCTGGGATCCTGAGTTCATCAATGCTTTCCATGCTTGCAGAGCAGCAGCACTGCAGCACAGTCTCTTCTTATAAGCAAGCATTTTCATTGAGAGAGCAACAGATTCAGGTATCAGCTTCAAGACTCTTAAGAAGGCTGTTGCTGACTCTATTCACAACTTCTCAAATTTCTATTTTGATTTATCTGGACAGTTTACATGAAGATGTTCTAATTTAGAACAGATGAAGCAGAGTTTCTTTTTCTTAGTCTCTCTGTTGTGCACTCTGTTTGCAGAAGCTTGTGAAGCTCTTTCTCTCTACTCAGCAGTCAGACACAAATCTCTCTGTGCCTTGTCATCTTTTTCTGACAAATCTGTTCTCTGTTGTCCTGGCCCTCACAGAGCTGATTGATGATTCACTCTTCATAAGTCTGTGACTCTCACAGTGATCTGCAAGTGATGAATGAGAGTCATCAGTTTCTTCAGAGTCAAGAGCTTAGAGCCTTGCTCAATGAGCTTGTTCTACATGCCTTTATTCAGTCTCTTCACAAACATCATCATTCAGATCTTGTTTCAGAGCCCTGTTTTCACAGGTCTCAATTCATATCATAATTTCATGAAGCACTGTGAGTAGTCTTCATCAGATTTCTCACCTCTTTTTCTAATGTTGATAATCACAGCTCAGGTGTTCTCTGTTCAGCTTACAGAGTCTCTCAACTTGTTCTCTAGATAGGTCTTGAGAACAGATCATCAGAATCTCTCATGATCATTCTCTAGATGATTCAGTCAGTTCTTGACTTCAGTGTAATAGAGATCTGTCA